CCCTGGTTTAGTTTTGTTGTGACCAATCTTTGTGGGAAGCCCTTGCAGTTGGTCTTTAGAGGTGGCGGAATAGTGGGAGAGTTGTGTAGAAATTATCTACATACAGATGGTAACCCTTCTCGAACATAATTACATAGTTAGTCTGGCTGAAAAAAAGACAAAAGTCCATCCAGGTCAACCATTACAAAATAAAATAAAAAATGCCTACACCCACAGTTAATCCAGAGGAAGGCAAAAAACCCAGCAAAGCATGATCCAATTTGCTCCTGCAGGGGAAAAAACTCCTTTCTGATCACCCGATAGGCTATCGGATATTCCCTGGATCACCCTTACCTATAAATGTTAGTATCCAGTTATTTTCTGTGTATCCAAGAAAGCATCCAGGCCTTTTTTAAAGCAATCCACTGAGCTGACCAGAACCAACTGTTGAAGGAGTCAATTCCACATTTTCACAGCTCTTACTGTGAAGAAACCTTTCCGTGTTTGGAGATAAGATTTATTTTCCTCCAGACGTAAAGAGCGCCCCCTTGTCCTCTGTGATGACCTCAGGGTGAATAACTCTACACCGTGTTCACCATATGAACCACTTTTGTATTTATACATTTTGATCATATCCCCCCTTAATCTCCTCTTCTCAAGAGCGAATAAATTCAATTCCTCTAATCTTTCCTCATAGCCGAGCTCCTCCATGCCTCTTATCAGTTTGGTTGCTCTTCTCTGTACTTTCTCCAGTTCCCCAATGTTCTTTTTGTGGATTGGTGCCCAAAATTGAACTGCCTATTCCAGATGAGGTCCCACTAATGATTTGTACAGGAGTAACATGATATCTCTCTTTCTGGAGTCTATACCTCTTTTATTACAAGAGAGGATTTTGCTCGCTTTAAAAACCGCAGCTTCGCATTGCATTTCAATATTAAGCTTGTGATCTACCAGAATCCCCAGCTCCTTCTCCACCATTGATTCCCCCAGTTGCACCCCCCTAGTATGTATGATGCATGCATATTCTTACCCCCAAGTGCATAACCTTACATTTATCAATATTAAACATCATTTGCCACATAGCTGCCCAATTAAACAGTGCATTGAGGTCGGCTTGTAAATTGGAGACATCTTGTAAGGACGTTATTCCACTGCACAGCTTGGGGTCATCTGCAAAGACTGAAATGGTATTTATAATCCCAGACCCTATATTGTTTATAAATATATTAAAAGTAAGGGTCCCAACACTGAACCTTGGGGTACACCACTGACAACCCTAGACCATTCAGAGTATGAATTATTAACCACTACTCTCTGAATACGATCTTTTAGCCAGTTTTCTATCCATTTACATACAGATTTTTCCAAGCCCGTAGACTTTACCTTACACATTAGCCATGTGTGGGGAACTATGTCAAGCGCTTTTGCAAAAGCCAAGTATACCACATCCACCGTCACCCCTCTGTCCAAGGTTTGTTCACCTCCTCATAAAAAGAAATCAGATTTGTTCTACAGCTTCTGTCTTTCATGAATCCATGCTATCTGTTGCTTACAAATTGTTTTCTAGCAAGAACTCATCTATGTGGTCTTTTATTAAACTCTCCAGTGTCTTCCCAACTATAGAAGTCAAACTAACAGGTCTATAATTACTTGGTAAAGATTTTGACCCCTTTTTAAATATTGGCACCACATTGGCCTTATGCCAATCCAGTGGTACAATGCCAGTCATTAAAGAGTCCCTAAAAATGAGAAACAATGGCTTTGAAATGACAGAGCCCAATTCTTTAAGGACCTGTGGGTGTATGCCATCCAGTCAAGGTGCTTTATTCACCTTTATTCTGTCTAAATATTTTTGGATCATATAATTTGTGAGCCAATGTGGATCATCTGGAGCTGTGACAATACCATGCCCATTATGGACATGCTCCTTTCTATAGAAAGAGCTGATGAAGGTATTTAATACATTTGCCTTCTCTTTGTCCCCAGTAACACACTCTACATTTGTAAAGGGCCTACATGCTCGGATCGGACCTTTTTACTATTAATATATTTGAATAATTTTTTGGGGTTAGTCCTGCTATCTTTTGCAATCTGTTGTTCATTTTTAATTTTTGCAGCCTTTTTTTCCTTTTTGCATATTGTTATATTCTTTGTAATGTTTAAACAATGATAAACAACATTTTTATATTTAATAAAAGCTCTTTTCCTATTGTCTATAGCTTTTTTAACTTTGGCCGTAAGCCGCATAGGTTTGATTTGTAGCCTTTTAAACTTGTTGCCCATGGGAATATATTTTGCTGTTTGTTCACATACAGTCTTTTTGAAGAACTCCCATTTCTGTATTGTGTTCATTGATGCCAATATTCTCTCTCAGTCTAAGTCTTGGAGAGCAGCTCTCAGCCTTGGAAAATTAGCTCTCTTAAAATTGAGCATTTGTATGTTTCTTGTATGTGCTTGCTGTTTACAGCTAACAATAAACAAATTCATGTTATGGATGGCAGAGTGGCTTAGTGGTTAGCACGTCTGATTGCAGTAAATGGGTCATGGGTTCGATTCCCGACCATGGTGCCTCCTGCATGGAGTTTGCATGTTCTCCCTGTGCTTGTGTGGGTTTCCTCCGGGCACTCCAAAGACATGCTGGTAGGTTAATTGGATCCTGACTAAATTGGCCTGAGTATGTGTATGTATGCATTCATGTTAGTTAGGGACCTTAGATTGTACACCCCTTGAGGGTTAGGGACTGATGTGAATGTACAATATATATGTAAAGCGCTGTGTAAATGGACAGCGCTATATAAGTACCTGAAATATATAAATAAATGTTATGGTCACTGCTACCTAGATGTTCTTTTATATGGACATTTGTAATATGCTCTAAGCTCTGCATGGTTTGAGATTACCAGAGGTTCAATAGATTGCCAAACAATTTTGCCACTTTTCCCCATGTAGGGCACTCAGGGGAGTCATGCTGGCTGTCCTTTCCCTCAAAAAGTTTGAAGTTGTAGGTATATCCTGTGGCCCTGCCACATGCCTTGTAGAATTTTACCCTATATTTGGCCTGTTTACTAGGGATGTACTGTTTATTGCCAAGCCTCCCGTTGAAGTGGACTAGGGATTCATCCACACAAATATTGTTGTCGGGAGTAAACATTTCCTTGAGGGTACAGCAAAAAAAGTTGCTTTATGGTTGAATTTTGAACAGTTTGTCATAATCAGAGTGATTTTCAGGAGGGCACTGGGTATTGTTATTGAAATGTAAAAACCTCATTACCATCTCATAGCGTGTTCTGGACATACAGGATGAATAGGCTGGCATATGATGTATAGGTTGGGTGGACCAGTAGGCATGGAATTCATTTTTTTTGTCAGTCCCATGTTCAAAGTAAGCTCAAGAAAAAATTTAAATTCCTTCACAGTGAGGGGTTTCCACACAAATGGGCGGACATATGATGAATTAGGATTGCTGGAAATATATTGACTGGCATACAAAAAAAAATAAATAAAATGAAAAAAAAATAAATTGGGGTAACATTTTATGCTTGTATCTGTGGGCCTGGCTGTGCTGTAAAAGGGGGAATTGTAAATTCTGGCGAATTAGCAGGCAGCCATGTGGGATGAGGATTTGACACTGGTACGCTGTGAAAGATGAGGATTTGACACTGGTACGCTGTGAAAGATGAGGATTTGACACTGGTACGCTGTAACAGAAGTAAATTTGACTCTGGTACACTGTGACAGATGTCGATCATTAGCATGCTGTGACAGATGTGACTTTGACACTGGCATACTATGACAGATGTAGATTTGACACTGGTATGCTGTGACAGATGTGTGGAGGGACACTACCTGGGTGATCATGGTAGTGTAGTGCTTGAAAACTCACTGTTTATTTTGCTGGCAACACAGATCGGCTCTGCTTCTCCTCACTGGTGGGCTCTGAGTGAGGAGAAGCCAATCAACTGACAGGCAGCCGTGTTTACATTACATGATGGCTGTGATTGAAGACAACCATCATGTGATCAGAAGGGCCAATCACAGAGCCCTTCTGCTGAGCGGTGTTGTGCTGTGTCCAGGGGACAAAGGCACACCGAGCGCAAAGCAGCTGCGTGGTAAAACGGCCACGTGCACACCTACATTCTGAGGGACATACAGGAACATCCCCTTAGAACAAAGCTCCCACCTGGTTGTTTAAGTGCAGTGGCCAGGTGGGAAGCAGTTAAGAAAGGAGCAGGGGTGTGGCTAACCAAAGCTGTGTGTGTCTACAGAGGAACAAAGACTGGCTCAAGAGGGCATGAATATGGGTGCCTCCATAGCACCCAACTTGCTAACAAGGCACCTGGAGGATGGAGGAGTGGGAGATTGATAAAGGACCGCTCTATGTAATATCATTGCACACAGCAGGTCAGTATAAAAGCTTTTTTTTTAATTTTAACCTCCCCAAAAATGTATCCTTTAGTATCACTTTAATAAAATATGATAATAGCAGAATACAAAGTTTATCATCGTTGGCATTTTCATTCTTTGTATAAAAACTCAACAGTTTTTTATATGCACTGTGCTGACATTTAAAATGATTGTAGCCTCCCTAGCGGTCTGATTATGTCAGTATTTCTGTGCTCAAAGCGGTACATCTTTTTGCATGGAAATATGTAGTTTTTTTATTGTAGACCTGTAATTTTTAGGAATAACTCACTGAAATCTGTGTCCGAACAAGAGTCTATTAAACATCCCGGGTATGATAAAATTTGAAACACGAAATCATAAATTATAATTTAATAAATAATCATAAAAAATAATAATAATATAATAATTAGAGATGAGCAAAGTATTCAAAAATTCGATTCGACTGATTCGGCGAATTCGTGGGAAATATTCGATTCGAGTCGAATATATTCGCTGTGAATTTAACTTAAAAAAGGGTGTTTCTAGGCTTCAGAGAGACTTAATATTAGTGCAGAACACTGTACCTTTAATTTAAATGCCCTTGGAGTCTGCTGGGGAAGAGAAATAATACTGTCAGTCAGTATGACATGCAGATGAGTGCCGTCGATCTTAGAATCACCGCACACTTCACTCATTTGGCCAGTCACGGGGCCAAAACCAGTGTTTGGAGCCACAGTGTGGCGGTGGAGGCAGCAGCAATGGGAGGCCATACAGCAACCTATGACAAAATGGAAACCAGCAGGAGTGTGAGGAGACCTCAAAGTGGCACATGGCAGAGTGGGAGCAATGGGAGACGGTACAGGGACCCATGTCACACTGTGGACCCAGCAGCAGCGTGAGTGACGAGGCGGTACGGGGGCCCATGGCAGATTTGGGGCCTGGCAGCACCTATGGGAGGCCTGTAATCTGCCAGCACCCTATGTCAAAAAATGTAACACACCAGCAGTGTGTGAGGAGACCTGAAAGTGGCACATGGCAGAGTGTGGCGATGGAGACAGCAGCAATGGGAGGCCGTACAGGGACCCATGAGAGACTCTGGACTTGGCAGCAACATGAGGAGGCGGTATAGGGGCCCATGGCAGATTAGGGGCCTGGCAGCAGCTATGGGAGGCCCGTATTCTGCCAGCACCCTATGACAAAAAATTGAACACACCAGCAGTGTGTGAGGAGACCTGAAAGTGGCACATGGCAGAGTGTGGCGATGGAGACAGCAGCAATGGGAGGCCGTACAGGGACCCATGAGAGACTCTGGACCTGGCAGCAGCATGAGGAGGCGGTATAGGGGCCCATGGCAGATTAGGGGCCTGGCAGCAGCTATGGGAGGCCCGTAATCTGCCAGCACCCTATGACAAAATGGAACACACCAGCAGTGTGAGGAGACCTGAAAGTGGCACATGTTTGGGGCATGATTCATGGCGGATTTAGTCAGTTGTGTCAGGAACTGGTGGTTTGAAATCCAGACTAATCCACGCCTGATTCATTTTCACAAACGTGAGTCTCTCCACACTTTGGGTGGACAGTCGTGTCCTCCGCGGAGTTACAATACCTCCTGCCGCACTAAACACGTGCTCCGATGCCACGCTACTGGCCGGGCATGACAGCCTTTCAAGGGCAAATTCAGCTAGTTGGGGCCAAAGGTCAAGTTTCGTTGCCCAGTAGTCAAGGGGATTGTCTACCTCGGTTGGCAGGGTGCTGTCCAAGTAGGCCTAAGCCTGTTGTTTGAGGTCCTGCTCCAGGTCCACCTGATGCTGCTGCTGCTGCGGCTGGTTAGTAGTTTCCTCACTGCGCTGGTGAAGAAAGCTACTCATCATCGACTGCAGACTGAGGCAGCCGCTGCTGGTGGAGCTGCCACTGCTCCTACCACCCCACCCCTCCCCTGCTGCCATGGCAGCGGAACGCGAGTGCACAGGGCCCACAGTGTCTGAGGATGGACGTTGGCGCAGAAAGGCAGAGACCAACTGACTACATAGGTGGTTTTTATAGTACGTTATTTTGGCCTCCCTCTCAGCAGGTGTGAAAAAGGCCACCATTTTTGAACGGAAGCGAGGGTCCAACAAGGTGGACAGCCAAAAGTCATCCCTCTGTCTGATGGTTATTATTCGGCTGTCGCTACGCAAGCAAGCGAGCATGCTATGGGCCATTTGTGCCAAGGAATGCGAGGGACATACTCCCTGCCTCCATCTCCACAGCATACTGCCACGGTGCGTCTGGGTCCTCTGTCTCCTCCTCCTCCTCCTCTACCAGATGCTCCTGCTCCTCCACTCCTGTCCGCTGCTGAGTGTGGAAAAACCACCTATTTCACTCAATAATTCCTGAGCACCAATGTCCTCCTCCTTACCTCCTCCTCTTTTCCTGTCCTGCCCCCACAGGGGTCATGTGGCGTTGAGATCTGTGTGCCATCCGTCTACCGCACCCTGAACAGCCATTGTTAACAGCATTTGTGTTCCAGGACGTGCAACAGAGGAATGACGTCGTTCATACCCATAGTCCTGCCGACTCACGAATAGCGTGGCCTCCTCAAAGGGCCTGAGCAAGCGCAGGTGTCACGCATGAGCTGCCAATGGCTGACATCTAGTTTAGTTACACAGGGAGTACCTTTATCCGCGACACAGATTTTAACATCAGAAATCTGTGATGGGCTTTTCGCTGTTCGTAAAGGCGGTCTAACATATGTAGGGTTGAATTCCACCTTGTTGCAACGTCACAGCATGAGGAGTCGGTAACACCAGCAGTGGTGAGGAGACCTGAAAGTGGCACATGGCAGAGTGTGGCGATGGAGACAGCAGCAATGGGAGGCCGTAATGACCCATGACACACTCTGGACTTGAACAGCAGCATGAGGAGGCGGGGTTGGGTATAGGGACCCATGGCAGATTAGGGGCTTGGCAGCAGCAGCTATGGGACGGGCCCGTAATCTGCCAGCACCCTATGTCAAAAAAAAAATTGAACACACCAGCATGTGTGAGTGGACCTGAAAGTGGCACATGGCATGAGGAGACTCTGGCAATTCCTGGCCAGCAGCATGAGGAGGCGGTATAGGGGGCCCATGGCAGATTAGGGGCCTGGCAGCAGCTATGGGAGGCCCGTCGTAATCTGCCAGCACTGGCCTATGTCCAAAAAATTGAACACACCACAGCAGCAGTGTGAGGAGACCTGAAAGTGGCACATGGCATGAGAGACTGTGGACCTGGCAGCAACGCAGCAGGAGAGGATTGCGGTACTAGGGGTCCCATGGCAGATTAGGGGCCTGGCAGCAGCTATGGGAGGCCCGTAATCTGCCAGCACCCTATGTCAAAAAATTGAACACACCAGCAGTGTGTGAGGAGACCTGAAATTGGCACATGCAGGAGTGTGGCGATGGAGACAGCAGCAATGGGAGGTTGTACAGGGACCCATGAGAGACTGTGGACCTGGCAGCAGCATGAGGAGGCGGTATAGGGGCCCATGGCAGATTAGGGGGCCTGGCAGCAGCTTGGGAGGCCCGTAATTGCCAGCACCTATGACAAAAAATTTAACACACCAGCAGTGTGAGGATGCTGAAACGTGGCACATGGCAGAGTGTGGCGATGGCGACAGACCAGGCAATGGGAGGCCGTACAGGGGACCCTGAGGAGACTTCATCTGGACCTGGCAGCAGCATGAGGAGGCGGTATAGGGGCCCATGGCAGATTAGGGGCCTGGCAGCAGCTATGGAGGCCCGTAATCTGCCAGCACCCTATGTCAAAAAATTCAAACACACCAGCAGTGTGTGAGGAGACCTGAAAGTGGCACATGGCAGAGTGTGGCGATGGAGACAGCAGCAATGGGAGGCCGTACAGGGACCCATGAGAGACTCTGGACTTGGCAGCAGCATGAGGAGGCGGTATAGGGGCCCATGGCAGATTAGGGGCCTGGCAGCAGCTATGGGAGGCCCGTAATCTGCCAGCACCCTATGTCAAAAAATTGAACACACCAGCAGTGAGGAGTGTGAGGAGACCTGAAAGTGGCACATGGCAGAGTGTGGCGATGGAGACAGCAGCAATGGGAGGCCGTAAACAGGCACCCATGAGAGACTCTGGACTTGGTTTGCGGCAGCAGCATGAGGAGGGCGGTACAGGGGCCCCATGGCAGATTAGGGGCCTGGCAGCAGCTATGGGAGGCCCGTAATCTGCCAGCACCCTATGTCAAAAAAATTGAACGCACCACCAGCAGTGTGAGGAGACCTGAAAGTGGCACGCAGAGGGTGTGGCGATGGAGACAGAATGGGGAGGCTGGTACGGGACCCATGAGAGACTCTGGTGGCAGCAGCATGAGGAGGCGGTATAGGGGCCCATGGCAGATTAGGGGCCTGGCAGCAGCTATGGGAGGCCCGTAATCTGCCAGCACCCTATGTCAAAAAATTGAACACACCAGCAGTGTGTGAGGAGACCTGAAAAGTGGCACATGGCAGAGTGTGGCGATGGAGACAGCAGCAATGGAGGCCGTACAGGGACCCATGAGAGACTCTGGATTGGCAGCAGCTTATGAGGAGGCGGGTATAGGGGCCCATGGCAGATTAGGGGCCTGGCAGCAGCTATGGGAGGCCCGTAATCTGCCAGCACCCTATGTCCAAAAATTGAACACACCAGCAGTGTGAGGAGACCTGAAAGTGGCACATGGCAGAGTGTGGCGATGGAGACAGCAGCAATGGGAGGCCGTACAGGGACCCATGAGAGACTGTGGACTTGGCAGCAGCCATGAGGAGGCGGTGTATAGGGGCCATGGCAGATTAGGGGCCTGGCAGCAGCTATGGGAGGCCTTGTAATCTGCCAGCACCCTATGTCAAAAAATTGAACACACCAGCAGTGTGTGAGGAGACCTGAAAGTGGCAACAAGTGGCGATGGAGACAGCATCCCAGCAATGGGAGGTCGTCACCGGGCCCCATGAGACACTGTGGACCTGGCAGCAGCATGAGGAGGGCGGTATAGGGGCCCATGGCAGATTAGGGGCCTGGCAGCAGCTATGGGAGGCCGGTAATTGCCACGTCACGCATTTGTGAGGTAGACCTGAAAGGTGGCACAATGGCAATGAGTGACAGCTGGTGGACGCTGCAGCAGCATGAGGGAGTGCGGGGTACAGAGGTAGGCCCATGGCAGAATAGGTTGCCTGGCAGCAAGCGAAGGGTAGGTCACGTAATCTTGGCCACAGCAGCCCTAGTGTCACAAAACTACTGTGGAACCCACCAGCAGTGTTGATGAGACCGTGAAAGATGTCACATGGTCTGATGAGACCTGTGTGACCCTGGCTAGGTCAGCATTAGGATTATGCGCGTACAGGGGTAGGTGCCTCAATGGCAATTAGGGGCCTGGCAGCAAAAGCTTAATGGGAGGCCGTAATCTGCCGCCCCTTGCAAAAAAAATTAAAACCACCCAGCGTGTGAGGAGATGAAAAGTGGGGAAATGGGATGAAGGACTCTGGACCTGGCAGCAGCTGAGGAGGGGTATAGGGGCCCATGGCAGAATTTTGGGGCCCCGGCAGCAGCTATGGGAGGCCCCAAAAATGCCACACCCCATGTCAAAAAATTGAAAAACACCAGCAGTGTTTAGGAGACCCGAAGTGGCACATGGCAAATGTGGGGC